TTTTTGGTTTTTTTGAGACAGGGTTTCTCTGTGTAGCTTTGTGTCTTTCCTGGATCTCGCTCTGTAGACCAGGCTGGCCTCGAACTCACAAAGATCTGCCTGCCTCTGCCTCCTGAGTGCTGGGATTGAAGGCATGAGCCACCACCGCCCAGCTTAGACCCACTATTTCTAAGAGTTGATGGCTCCCAGAGCTGGCGTAAAATGTACCACCGCCATGTTGGGAAGCTGAAGTGGGTGGAACCAGCAGCCACAGCATTGTTTCAGTCCTAGAATGCTGCAGTTTAAAGCAACAGGCTCAATGTAGTAAAAAAATAAGCCACATAAAGATGGCTACCACACAGAGAATCTGGATTATGTTCTCTTTGATATTTATAACTAAAAAAAAAAAATCATTTGATTACAAAAGCTGTTGAGTTATGCCAAAATGTATATTTTAAAGGTACCTTGACTTCAAAATTTGGATTTAAGGATATATTGCTTTGGAAAGGAGCCTCTGCTTTTGTTTCCACAGAAAGCAAGAGGCTATGGATTTGTTCCAGGTTAAGATACATCAGGTTTGACCAGCCAAGACCACCTGAAAGGTCTCCGATGACACCAAGGCCCAGATGATCCAACATTCAGAACCATTTCAAGGCAACTGGCTCAGATGATACACCCTCACGGACTATTCCATAATCCTAAAATTTTCTTTGTGTCCCCATAAGATACAGTGCCCCCTTCCAGCAGGAAGTAGTAAGAGAAGCTATGCCCAAATTCACAAATATACCAAGCTGGCTTTGGAGATGTGTAAAAGTTAAAACCTTTCTTTTTTTTGTTTTAAAAAAGGGGAAGTGCTATGGGATGGTATGTATGTTAAATGTGTTGATCTGATTGGTCAATACATAAAACACTGATTGGCCAGTAGCCAGGCAGGATGTATAGGCGGGACTAAACAAGAGGAGAATTGAGAAAACAGGAAGATGGAGGGGGACACCAGCCTCTGCCATGACAAGCATCATGTGAAGATGCCGGTAAGCCACGAGCCATGTGGCAAAGTATAGATTTATAGAAATGGATTAATTTAAGATATAAGAACTAGATAGCTAGAAGCCTGAGCCATTAGGTCAAACCGTTTAAATAATATAAGCATCTGTGTGTTTATTTTATAAGTGGGCTGTCGGACTGCCGGGGTTTGGTGGGACCCAGAGAGGAAACGCTGCAGCTACAATTAAGGTTTCTCCACCATGACAACATTCTTGCATCTCATAAACTGACCTTTTAACTAAACTATGGTAACTCTCTACAAGTATAAGAGTAACACAAGCTTAACTAAGGGACAATTTGCTTATGAATGTTTTTGGACATACACTAATACTCTAGTCAATGTGAATACCTTTCCATCAGTTAAATGGAATGAAACTAAATGGAGTCATGGATCTCAAGGAATTATGATTGATAAGGTGACATTTGTTAAGGCATTGTTTCTTTGTCTTCTCTTTGACAGGAACACGTTGCAAGCACAGGTTAGCTATCTGAAATTGAGGTACATGATATTATAAGAATTTAATAATCATCACAAAGCTGTAATTATTTATACTGTTGGTTTTCATTAAATATCAGGGCACTTTAAAAGTTCTTCAGAGGCATTGTATCACCTTGTACATGAAAGGTATCACCTTGTACATGAAAATTACCTTCCATGTCTTCTAGAACTTTGACAATGTTCTCCAATATTCTGGTCTTCCCATTTGTAGCCTAAAATACAGTACCAGAAATGAATGATATATTACTGGAAATCATGCAAAATTTGAGTTATATTCAGTGAACCTTAGAACCATGCCTAATTTATATACCACATTCTTCTTTCACAGTAGAAATCACAGTGAAACAAATATACCTAGAAATGCTTGTATCCTTAAGTTAGAAACTGAAGGAAAACTCACATTCTTACCTATAGCAATGAGGTTATCACAGGTTTCCAGCATCACATCTCTGTAGAGACTCTTCTGCCAAGGATCTAGCAAAGCCCACTCTTCCAGACTAAAGTTCACTTGCACATCTTCATAGGTCACTGTATCCTAAAAATCACATACACATGAAACTGAAATGGTAAGACTGAATGCTCTAAAATTATAATTCACTGGGAATATACTTACATAATTATGTGTGCTTGACAAATTTATTTCATATCACAGAATTTCAAATGCAATCAGCAAACCATTTTAGAGGGAATTGGAGAAAGAGGACCATGAATCTCAAGTTTAAGTCCTCTGAACAACATCTGGCATTGCAAGAGAAATGCTGACATATATAGACATTCAAACAAAGCAATAGTATTGAATAAATAACAGCAAACTTGTTTCAAAATTGCTGATATCAAAAAGGATGGACAATATGGGTATGGTGGTGCAAACTCAGGAGGCAGAGAAGTGAATCTCTATGATTTCCAGGCCAGCCTGGTCTATGCAGAGATTTCTAGGACAGTCAGAGCTATATAATGAGACCCTGTGTCAAACAAAGAAAAACATTGAACTCAAGGGGTTTACTCTAAATTCCACCAATGAATTAAACATACATTCCAGAAATGTATTTGGCTTTCAGAAAACTGGATGCCTCATTTAATCTCTAAGGCTAATATATTCCTATGGAATAATGCATTTTTATAAAGTTACTGACAGACATATAAAAATGATTCTCAAAAACTTTGTGAAGGAAAGGCTGATGTTAAACAATAAAAGAAAACAAACAAAAAATCTCAGTAGAATATAAATATGGATCAACAGTTAAGATCAACTTTTGCTTTTGCAGAGGACCTGCATCAATCCCTAGGACTCACTTGTGGCTCCCAATACTTAGAACTCAATTTCAAGAGAATCCAGGGCTCTCTGACTTCAGTGAACACAAGCCACAATGTTACACCTGCATATATGTAGGAAAAATAATCATGCACACATTTCAAAAATTAAAATATATTAAAACAAGCAAAAAGATATGTTACACATCTGCATTGTAGTGATTCAGGAGATCAGTATTAATGTCATGAATGCATGCCATTCTGCTGAAAGAAAATGATACCTTCTGCTAAAGTTTAAAATTTAAAAAGTGGGTAAAGCTCAGCACAAGATCAAATGCTTCATATATACTAAAACCTAATTCTCATAGCCAAAAATATAAAATAAATACATCAGGGCAGAAAAATGTCATATCAAGGAAAAGCATTTGCTTCTATATTACCTTAAGCTATTCAAGGATGGAGTGTGTTTTGTTGGAAATGGAGTGGCTGCATGAGAAAGGCTGCTCAGTTTCAACTACAGAAAGTAGACAAGTGTGGTTGGAGTACAAACACTCAACACCCATCCCCAGAGACTATCATACTCATGGAAAGCTCCTGATCCTAGATATAGCATTTGCATCCTAATGAAAACCAGAAACCTCACACAAAGTCTCAAATATATCTTTGAAATTGGGAGATTTTTCATTCAACCCACCATTTTGACACAGTCCATGATAGGCTCACATTCAACCCACAATGTAAAATGCCTTTATTCTAGCCACAAAGATTCCTATATTCTGTAATACTACCCAAAATGTTAGAATGTACAGTTTAGTCAGGTGGCACACGCCTTTAATCCCAGCAGTCGGGAGGCAGAGGCAGGCGGATCTCTGTAAGTTCGAGGCCAGCCTGGTCTCCAAAGCGAGTTCCAGAAAAGGTGCAAAGCTACACAGAGAAACCCTGTTTTAGATTTTGCAAGGTGACTCAGATTTAAACAGTGCAAGGCATTTAACAGTTGAGGCAGAAAAGGAGCTGACCCAAGTAAGACAAAACATACAGAGTGCCTATATAGATGGATTAGATTTCACAACTGAGTATATTTTGGTAATTTTCCCTTCTACCCATTCCCCTACTGGGCTTATTATGCAAAGGGAAGATAGTGTTTTAGAATGGATATTTTTAGCTTATAAACGGAGTAAAAAGTTAAAAACCTGTAGGGAAAAGATTTCTTAATTATTTATAGAAAGAAGACTTCATCAATTGTGAGGAATGGATCCAGCTGAGATTGTAGTACCTTATACTTATGTTGAAATTATGCAATTATGAGTAGTTAATGATGACTGGCAAATATCCTGTAGTAATTATTTAGGAGAAATTAAGAATAAATATCCCAAAAGTAAAAGAAGTCCGTTCATAAAAATAACTGAATGGGTTCTTCCCAGCATGGTGAGTCGAGTGCCTATTTCTTCAGCTCTTACATTTTGTGCTGACCCAAGTAAATTAGGAATGGCTGGTTATAAAGCAGGAAACATCAGTAAAATAATTCAAAGTCCATATGCTTCAGTTAAAAAATCAGACTTGTATGCCATTCTAATGGTTTTATTAGACTTTAATAAATTTCTTCATATAATTATTGATTCTCTGTAGTCAGAAGTTTTCCTGTGTCCCACCCAGGCCCACAGTCAGGACTAAAGTCTTTCACCCATGTCCTGCAGCCCCTTGGTGGCAAATAAACACACAGAGGCTTACATTATTTACAAACTGTATGGCTTATGGATCAGGCTTCTTGTTAGGTAGCTGTTATAACTTAATCCATTTCTACTAATCTGTATGTTGCCAAATGGCCATGGTGTTACCGATTTGCTGGTATCTTGTTGCTCCTTGGGCAGTTGGCTGGCATCTCTCCACTCTCCTTTCTTGTCTCTCTCCAGTTCGAAAGTAACGTTATTCTGCCTCACCATTGTCCAAACAGCTTTATCAATCACTCAGAGCAACATATATTCACAGTGTACAGAAAGACATCCCACAGTAATTCTCAATATGCAGAAGGGGTTGTATTACATATTGAAACTGCTGAACTTATTCCTGATAATTCAAAATTAACTTTATTATTTATACAACTACAACAGGCAATCTGAGAAAGGAACTGCCCACTTTATTATTACCCATATTTGGTCTCATACTGGATTGCCTGGGCCATTAGCAAAAGGAAACTTTAAAAAATTGATCAACTATTAATAGGAAATGTATTAGAGGTTCAGAATTTTATTTTAAAAATTATGTTCATAGTAAAGGCTTGAAGGATAAAATTTCCATAACCTGGTGACAAGCTAAAGAGATTATAAAAAACTGTCCCAATTGTTCTTTGTATAACCAAATTCCTTTACCTGCAGGAAGTAATCCTAAGGGTGCTCAAAGAAATGAAATTTAGCAAATGGATGTATTTCATTTAGCAGAATGTGAAAAATTAAAATATGTTCATCATACTATTGATACATGCTCTGGATTTCAAAGGGCATCTGACTTAAGTTCTGAAAAGGTGATTCTGTATTTACACATTTATTCGAGACAATGGTTGTAATGGGTATACCAATACAAACTAAAACTGATAATGCTCCTGCTTATGTTTCCAATGAAATGAAACAATTTTTTGCATATTATAACATAAAACATATTACAGGAATATCATATAATCCTAAAGGACAATCAGCTACTGAAAGATTTAACTGAAAGAGATTCTTATAAAACAAAAGGGGGATATGAGGACTCTCTGAAGTAAATTACATGATGTTTTACTAACTAAATTTTTTAAATGCTAATGAGACAGGGACAACAGATGCTGAAAAGCATTGGACTATAGAAAAACACTGCTTAAGTAAGTGGGCTTGTGTCCTACAATGATGCCTTGACAGCTATATGGAAAATGGGAAAGGTGTTATGATGAGGCCTGAGGTTATGATTATGTTATGAATACCATCAAAGTTGACAAAAGTTCTAAAAACCTTTTAAATGCTACAACAACTTTGTTCCTTGCTACATAATCTGTGGTAACCGTTGAGGTAACAGGGACTGATCATGCTTACTGGGCCTATTTTCCCAATTCTCCAATTAACAGAGGAATAAGTTGGGGAGATATGGATACTCCTGATGTGGTTAATGAATCCTCTTGGCTACCTGGTTCTTATGACCACAGAGGAGCTGCTAAACCTGAGGAAGAGGGTAAGAAGTTTACAAACTATACTGTGAGGATGCAAGGAATTCCTATTTGTATGGGTAATGGGATGCACCACCTAAATATAACTTTTCAATTTTGGCTATCTTTAGTTAGTCATAGTACTGCCCAGAATTTTCATGATAAATTTTACATGTTTCATCCATCTGCTTTTAGAGGACAGGAGATTAATGCTGCTAGGTCCATAAATCTACCATCTTGTGAGATGTGGGTTACCAACAAGGATTCTGACTGGGTACATTAGCAACAATGTAAAGGTGAGAAACCTCGAGTGCTTATTAATATCTCCCATTGACATATCATTGATTGGAGCCTTTATGGCCTTCCTTGAGGAAAATATTCTCATTCAAAGTTAAGATGACAGAGGTATAGTTTGAATGGAATTGTGGAAATTAGTTCTAACATCAAGTAACCTATCCAATGACAATAGCAACAATGACATGGAGGTGGAATGTCAGGGTCCATGTTACAATTTGGCAATTCAGTTCAGACTAATTTGTGGAAATTGCCAGGTGCCTTACACCCTCTTAAACTTTGGAAAGTTAAATGTTTATGATGGTAAGTATACTTTATCTTTTAGATTGAATCAAAGTCACACCTTAGTAGCATGTGTACCATTACCTTATATATTATTGAAAGAGCTACACAATGGTACCTTAACAACTATAGAATCACTATATACAACAATAGAATATAACTATTTATAAATATATAGTGTAGGTATAGTATTGTATTTTGAATGTTTTACTCTCCATACCTGTATTAATGTTAGCATGTTATTGGATGTTACTTCTGAAAGATATATGTTCTTAGAGCAAGGCCAGCAATCTGGTTACCAGTGAAGTTTTTGAGGCTATGGTAAGACTCACCTGTGCTGATTCTAGTCCAGGAGCTCCCAGAGAGAATGTTAAAAGAACATGTCCGACGACTGGACTGATTATTGCTATAGTTATGAGTGTTGGTGATCTCCTACTTGGGGCCCCATTCTACACTCAGGTCTCACTACTCCCATTCTAGACCCCACCCCTTCAAAAAGCCCACCAACCAGCAGATCCTCCTCTCAGAAAGCCAGCCAAGGGTCATTTCTTCCCCTAGGGGTGCTCAAGATCATGCCTGCAGGCTACTTAAGACCTGGTAGCCATATTTACCACATGAATCCACTCTGAGATGATTTTTCACTCTTTCATTCTCCCCATCCCCCAATAAACCTCTTACACTAACTCTGTTGTCCCTGGCATGTTTTCTTAGTGGTATACTTTGAAAGGGCCCACAAAAAAGTACCCACTTTGCCTTTTTACTCTCTAAGCTCTCCTGGCATTTGGTCTGGCTATGGTGGGATTCTAGCCACAACAGATGCATGCTCTTTGTGTGTTCCTGTCTACCATCCCACTCTAAACTGCATAAATGTTCCATCCTTACATTTCCTACTATGTGGGAGTCAGAGATACAGAGGCTGGGTGCTTCATACCTAGAACATGCCTGTTCTCCCTTACAATGTTTGATGAGCTGTCCCTCAGTGAGAGACATGCCAGCTCCCGGCAGCACGCCTATTTTCTCTAAAAAGATGGATGGTTGTAAAAGAACTTCCCTTGGGTGCTTGCATTAAATGTAGCAAATCCAGTCATAGAGCAGAAAAAAACTTCCTTTCACCTCAACTGCTGCCAAGACCCTGTCCAGACTGTGGAGAAGCAGGACACTGAGGGACCATGCTTTGCCAAGACAAGACGCCTGCATGTTCCTGGGGAAAGGGTGCTGCTACTGTATCAAGAAATCTGGCCTGGTGGAAACTAACATCGAGTCACTCCACAAACTGTCTGAAGAACTTCATCACTATGACCAGGGTCCATCTCCATTGCATTCTTTCTGGCAGTCTTCATGCTTCCCACAGCTAGCCTTGTTCATAGGGTCAGTGGTAATAAACTTTTTTTTTCCTCCTAGCAATGTGCCTTCTCTTCCTCCCAGAATGGATTCCTGAGGTCTCAGGTGGTGGTTAATCAAGATGCTTCTTCACCTATACATCCCACATGGTCCCATGCCAACAGAAAGTACCCATATTTGAACTGGTGACTCTATACCCCAAAAGATCAGGATGTTTGGCTGGAACCTGCATTCCTGGCTATCCACACCCTGGCCTTTCATAAAAATGACCAAAAGAGCAGTAATGCATAGTTGGCAGCTGGAGGCTCCTCCTCTGAAGCTGCCAGTGGCCCAATGCCACCCTAAAGCATTATACTTGGGCACAAATCCAGTTTGTAGAAGAAACATCATCACCCAGCACCTACAGGGTATTTAAGCTCCCTCCTTTTAAATTAGCCATGTGAGTCCTCTCCTGCCCTCCCGAGAGTCACCCAGAAGTTGCATGGCTCTGTTCATTAAACCTGGATTTATTAAATTAGCCTGATCAGACTTCTTATACTGGCGGCAGAGGATATCCAATAACCATGGATCCAAAACTCATCAATGGGAATTATTTCATTGACTGCTACTGTTGCAACAGCCTGAGTAGTCCTTCATAAAGAAACTTAAATTGCTGAATTTGTTAGCGACTGGCATCAGATTTCTACAAAACTTTGGGCTCAGCAGAAGTAAACAGATGGTGATAGTGTTAGTGAAACAGCAGACTTGATGCAAGCTGTGTTACTTTTAGGAGATCAGTTAGAGACTTAAAGGGGACAGATTCAGTTAAAATGTGTTGGTAATATTAACATTTAATTGTATTTCACCTACTGTATTAAATTTAAAGAAAGCAAGTATGATTGGGATAAGGTTAAAATGCCATTATTGAGTCACCCTAATGGCTCTCAAATGACTTATGATTTACAACAAGAAATTAAGGAAATCTTTTCAGTTAAGCTACCTGACGTGTCTGGAATGGATGTCATAGAATGCCTTGCAGACACCATACCTTCATTTAACCCTATGAATCATTTGGATAAGTTTTGTATTCTGGCAATTGTTATACTTGTTTTTGCTATAATAATTTTAACACTTGTCAAATATATTCTGACTTATGTACGTGAGACTATCTTCTGCATAGCTGCATAACCTTCAACGTAATTAAATTAGCTTAAACAAAGGGGGGGGGATGTAGGAATTGAGCAGAGTCACTGTATTTGGGGTAATATTTGAATGAACAACCAGTTCTCAGAAGTACTTTGACCTTCAAGAATCCTTATGGAAAGCAGTGACTGTTTTCCTGAAAGGGCTTTGCAGCCATCCCCTGACTTTGGTCACAAGATGCCTCAAGCACACCTGGGCCTCTTATATTATCGAGTATTGCACATAATACAAAACTAGAGTCACAGAGGCAAGTGATGCTTTCCTTCAGTCAGACATGTAAATTAAGATTAGGGACCTTGTATGAGGAAATACTTTGTCTAACTTTCAGTAAATATACCTTTGTATGGCTGTTCGGGTTCAGTCTATCAGAAGAGACTGGACCTTCTTGCTGCAACACGGGTCTTAAAATTTCAGCTTAGGAGTATCTTCTTTCTTCAACCAACATGGGCTACACAGTATACTCTGACACTCTATATACCTACTTAAGTGGTAAGTAATAACCAAGCAACAGACTAAATGTTTGGTCAAGACAGTCTATGAGTCTTTAATTTAGCTGTACTTGTTTTCACAGGATACAGGAACAATACAATGTAGACAATGCCAAAATACTACACAAAACATCTATCATAATTACTGCTCTGCTGCTGTGAGGAAACACAATGACCAAAGTGACAGTGATAATGCAAGGCTTTTTATGTTGGGACTGGATTACACAGACAGAGGATTAGTCCATTATCATCATGAATGGCAGCATCAAGGTAGGCAAGCATGGGGATGAGACCAATCTCCTGATACAGACAGGCAAGTAGAAAGAAACATTGCTTTGGCTGAAACCTCAAAGCACACCTACAGTGACACACCTTAAACAAAGAAGGTAAAATACCTGGAAGACAATGCTTGGCTTCCATTGTTACAATTTGTGTGAAGACTCATGAATGGACTCAATTTGAGGCCACAGAATTCTTTCCTATATTACTTTGTTGTATGGAGCCTACATGTCTAAGCCATAGTTACCATCGCCTCCTATATTCATGCTAACCTAATTAAAAAGTTCTATTAAAGAACAGGCACAACAGTGCACATTTAAACCTTGAGAAGTGTGGGTCCAACCAGGCCTTGTGTCTGATGGAGGACGGAAGCATCATAGCAGAGAGCTGGACTATCCTTGCCAACAAAGTATCCCTGTGGTTTGCTGCCCTCTTGCCTATTATGTCAATAGTACATTATGAAAACACAGAATTTATAGAGTTAACAGAAGTTGAATATAAAGTCTAATAATTTATGCTATCAACAACATTAAACTGATGATAAGGACATTATGAATTTAAAACATGATCAAGATCGAACATATAGCACACTAAAGACATCATCTGACTTCAAAAGTTCAAGTGCAACTACCATAAAGATTGTACTGTCTGGGAAAGAATAAAGAGATAACAGAACTTTGGAGCAAACAGACAAAAGAACACAACTGAAATACAGTCACTGTTGAAAAATGAGACCAGTATACCCAGTATGGCCTTACTAACACAGGTGACTGGAACACTGTGTCATTTATATGCAAATGTATTAGTAACACAGATTGTAATATCTGTGCAAAATTAACTTCAGTAGGATGCTACCACTGCATGTTAAGTGGGAAGAACAGAACTTCAGGAAGCCCCCAGAGAAACTAGGGCTTTGTGAGACAGCAAGTCTGCCTTCCATGGAGACAATAAGATCAGGAGAGTTGTGCTCATGGCATGGTGAGGTCAAAAATAAGCATTTTTATTCTCAAGGGCTCCTGTTCCTCATGCTTTGAGGGAAGGCATGACAGGAACTCAAGCAGCCCAGGAACCTGGAAGCAGGAGCTGATACAGAGGCCATAGAAGGTGCTGCTTACTAACCTGTTCACCATGGCTTTCTCAGCTTGCTTTCTTGTAGAACCCAGGACCACCAGCCCATGGGGGGCTCATCCACAATAGGCTGGGCACTTCCCAATCAATTACCAATTAAGGAAATGCCCTAAGGCTTGCCTACATCTAGATCTTATGGAAATATTTCCTTAATTGAAGCTCTCTCCCCTCAAATGACTATAGTTTGCATCAAGTTGACATAAAACTATCAAGCACCCTGATGATTTACATTAATTGGATTAAATGGGAACACAGATGAGTGACCTCTCAAGTTGGGGAGAACAGAAAAGAGCTGCCAGAGCCTAAGTCCTGCTGGATTGAACTCCTGGGACAAGAGGAATGTAAATGCAGTCTGCTGTTAGTACTTCTGTTTGATTAGGCAGTCTTTAGCCCAACTCTTCAGGAGACTTTTAAACAATATATCAAGGCGACTAGTGACACATGCCTGTTATCCCAGCATCCAGACTAGCATGGGCTGCACAGGGAGGTGCAGGAGATCAGGGACAGCAAAGCAGAATTCTGTCTCAAGCAAGATGTTTTTCTGAGGTGCTAGGATGGGATCCAGAGCTTTCACATGCTTGGCTAGGTATTTTACCCCTGACCTACATCCCCAAAACCCTTCTTCCATTCATGGTGGCTTACATGTCACACACATGTGGAAGTCAGAGAATAACTTGTCAGAGTCATTTTTTTTCCATCAGGTGGGTCCTGGCAATTGAACTCAGGCTCAGAAGCAAGCACCTTAATCACTTGTAGCTATCCTACTTTCATAGGTTATGACATCTTCTGTGGTTTTGCTGTCAGGGACAAAGTCTGCTCATGTAGTCCTGACTGGTCTGGATCTCTATGCAAACTCTAACAAAAATTTGCTTCCCTCCTTCTGCCTCTGCCAACTGAGTCCTGATATTATACTGTGCCCCACCACACACAGCTTGTTATGTTTGGGGTGGAAATAGTCTCAAGTAGCTCAGGTTGGCCTCAAGTTCAGTAAATAGCTGAGGGTCATCTTCCATTTTCATCTCTACCAAGCTACATTCTCCAGGTAGTGAGATTTAAATAGCAAACAATGAGGCTGGGTACAGTGACACACACTTTTAATATTAGCACCAGGGAGCCACAGGCAATCGTGCTCTACATAGTAAGTTCCAGGCATGTGAGCATGAATTAGTAAGATCGTTCTAGGAAGAAAAAAAACAGCGCTGATAATAATTTTTAGGCTTGATTGTTTCTCAAATATTTAATGACATTTCTTTATAGTGCATATGTGCCTTTGTGAACACAGATTATAATGTAGGTGAGTGAGTTACCCACATTGGGTACTAAGTTGCTGCTACAATCATTACCTGGCTGTCCCCCCAAAAGACCACAATACCTGTGGTTCAGTAAAGGGTAGGGAGAAGAACTCCTCCAGAGATGGTCTCAGGGAACAGAATCTGCTTTACTGCATGTAAGCAACTACTTATATAGTGGAAGCCTATCAACTCTGATTGGTTAGCACATTACATTCGATTGAAACATGAATGCTCATACAACCCACCTGGGTTTCTATGCAGACGAGGCACATAAAAGAGACATGGACCTTGCAGATATGTTAGCAGGCCAGCTATTGGCTACCCATGCAACTTTATAATTCAATGTACTGACTTCAGGGAATATTCAGAAGCATGATGGGCCATGCTTGTTACTTAGAATCATAGTGTATGAGGTAGGCTAACTACCAGGACATGTCTGCATTTTGTCCTACAATTTCCCCCTCTAAATCATTTCATTTTCTTGAGTGCAGAGCCTCAAGATCAACAAGCATGATATGCCAACAGTGCCACTGACAACTAAGCTGGTGACTGTTCCCTCAGCTCCCTTTAAATATCTATTTTGTATTGCCTAAAAGGGATCATGAAGCATGGGGTGAGGAATTTGATAAT